TATATATATATATATATATATATATATATATATATATTCTGTCAAAGGAGACACGATCAAATAAAATATTCGGCGTTCTTAATTATTTTTTATCTTTCCTTGAATTGTTTTCAGTTGATGATTTGGAAGTTGTCACAAACTTGCTAAGATATCCTATAATCGGTGAAACGAATTTTCTCAGATACATGAGCAGATTGATAAATGCGCACAATTACGAGAAGAAGGACCTTGTGTCCGTCTGCGTAATAGATAATGTTCTCGATTTGTGTTGTCGCGTGCGTTATCAAACGTCTCGTGACAAAACAGACGAATTAATGGCCATATTGTATCGAGAACTGGAGCAAAGCCGGTGGAACGGCAAAGACGAGCCGAATATCGCAGATATCGCCGCGTGGTCCACAATAAAACAGTTCTCGTCGAACAAAAGATTGCCGCACATTATTCAAAGGTGGTACGATATTTGCGAAAAGTCTTTTATGGACAATGCTTCGACTAATTAGTGAGTTTTCTTCCGTTTATCAAAGATTTTAAATGCATTAAGTTTAAGCGCGTTTTGAAATTTTAATAAATAATTCTGTTTTGCCCTTTACATAGCCTTGTTGATTGTTCATATCCCATCTCTGTGTTTGTCCTTAACTATACAAAACATACGACAATGTTTGTCCCGTTGAATGTTTACATACTCTACGACTTGGAAGTTTCACAATGTCAACAATAGGAATATTGATACTCGGCAAAAAAGTATGTTTCGATCGAGAAATTCTTCCGGAACGGCATAAATTTTTATTGAAAGATTAACAAAGTCTGCAAGATATCCCTAATACGATTACGCCTATAGCTGATTTTTATGCTCGCATTTGTTGATGCAAATGCGCGTTATAGATATATAAATAAGATTAGATTTGCACTAAGCGAACTCGCTGGCAGTGTCACAAGAAGAAACGCAGTTTTGAGCGCGCTTCTCTCAAAGGAGATGCTTCTTATCGAATAAAATCGTTCATATATCTCGAATGATTTTACTGGATACGAATCTAGGTCTTAATCGTTAATTGGTAGATTAGGCTTCTCTTTGCTGCGCGTCTTACCTTACATTAGATTTAACTGTTCGCGCAGCTGCACAAAAAGGAAAGCGCGAAATTACGCAACTATTAGGCTGGTGCGAAAAGTTCGTCGTATTTGCCAAGTAAAGTAGAAAACGGAATTAACTAATTTTTCGAAAGAATAATAATTTTTACGAATTATATGAACATTGGCTCAGCATTTCTTTAGAAATGCTATCTAACGAGGAAATTTTTAAATATCATTATCTAACGAGGAAATTTTTAAACTTTTAATTATATCCGAAATTCCTACGAAAATCTTAATATAAAAATGACAAGTCTCTTGCACCAACTTAATATATCGTACTTCAGTTCGATATCCGACTTTGGACAAAGTTGAGAATGTTTAAGAAGATACAAATACTGTCTCAGTAATAGCTACAATAATAATATATGCGTATGTGTATCACAAAACGAATGCGTTCAATCGATAGCTCCGCGCTAGCTAATATAGTAGCGTCATACAAAATCTACATTTCTTTTTTCTTACGGGTAGAAAATATACAATATATTTACACATGAATGCATGAAAATGGAATTATACACGCGGTGTTTCACGATTCGCAATCCCGATTTTAATTCTGTTCGAAACAATTACACTTTGATGAAATCATGTACAAAAATGTCTCAATATTCGACAAATAGGCACTTTTTTATCTAAGACATCTACAATCCAGACTTAAGTTTTAATTTAGAATTAGACATTGTGATAACTCTAAATATAAAACCTATTTTATATATATATATATATATATATATATATATATATATATATATAAAAGAATTGTTAAACACAATATATCGTACAAAAAATTAAGAAATAAAAAAATTTTATATTTACCATGTCGAATATAAAAATTAATAAAAATATATCGACTATTTTCTTTCTTATACATGGTAACTAAAACTTCAAAACTTGAACTATTTAATTGCGAGTCATGCGACACCTTGTATATAGTGGAAGAATGCAATTATAAAAATGTTTCTTAAAAAATTAATTAATGACACGTCTTACGGATTAGCTGCGATAAATCAGTCGATAATAAAAGCGAATATTTATTGGCTATCCTGTCTTCTCTTGAATTCTGCTAAAATTGCAATTCGCAGGTCGTTCGTAAGCGCAAAACTTACACTCTTTCACCAAACCAAACTAAACGTAATAATAACGCGGTTTTGCGCAATATTTACACGTACGTTTTTATAAAAATGTTTCCTCAATATCTTGCTATACCAGGATATATCATTTACGTAATATTTCAGCAACGTTCTTCGTGTTTGAGAGAAATCGGCGAACAATGTGATGATATGACGACAGATCTGACTATTAACGAACGTTGAGTATGAATTGACGTCCCGTTTCTCCCAGAACCTCTATGGATATCGTCGTGACGATCGCGCCAGTACGCTAAGGCGCGTACCCTTTTTAGTAGTGTTCCCTTTTTTTAACAACTTGTGTCCTTAATTTATACATAACGTTCGAACGTCGTATGTTAGAAGAATGCGTAAGATTAAATCATATATTGCATACATGAGAAACGGAAAAAGTTCGATTTAACATTCACATTAACCTGATTTTCCCTAAAGAGAAAAAGGACTGGTACTTTTTTTCTAGACTTGAATAGCTCCGCTTCTCAGGTATGGAACTTACATAACGAGATCCCGATATGCTTCTACTCTCCTGATCCTTCAATCAGAGGAAGTACAAATGTCTATTAAATGCAAATGTCTTATCTAAAAAATTATAAATAATATATATATAATCTGTATATATATATATATATATATATATATGTATATCAATATATCACAATATATGAAGATGCCTCGACGTTCCGAGTACGCCGTTAAAACCTTACTAGAAGTCTACAACGCCAGTACACGTCGACACAAGTCTTTTATCTTTACATACGTATATACAGGTAAGTCACTTAATATACATTGTAAAGTATTTTCTTAGTAGTTATCAGATATTATCGAAAACTATGGACCGAGACGAATGAAATTTTACTTATTACCGTCTCTAAAATATGTAAAAGAATATAAGTGTCTATCGCAACAGTTGATAACTGTTGCTTGTGCCGACAGTACAAGCCGAAAAAATCAGACGCATATATGCATCTACAGTCCATACTGATACCATTTATTAGACGCATATACGTGTCCATAAAATTCTGAAATAATATACTTATCCTTCTTTATACATACACAGGGTATCTGACAATGATCATGTAGATTTTTAATTATTATTTAAAGAAGATTAATGCATGATTGTGCGCTAAAACGCACCAATCTTCTTTAATCATCAAAATTTTACGTGGTTATTTGCGAAATGGTAGAGAAATTGTGTATTTAGTATTGAGTTCTGCCTGCATACCACGGGTGTGTCGTGAATTGTCAGACGCCTTGTATAAAAAAACTTATGTTTCTTTCACATATATAAAAAGAGACCACCGCACGAAGCGAGATCGTCGAGGCGATAGTTTTGATATTGACAGTTCGAGGGAGAAAGAGAAAAGACCCTCGCTGAGAATTTTTATAAAACTCCGCTAGAAAAAGTGTTTCTTTATATCTTACTAATTAATTGTTAATTCGGTTAATTACACGAACGACGAAAAACCAGGCAGCGGCGCTCTCGATCTCGCCATATTGTTCATGATAATCTGCCCGCCGTTCAGACTAACGACCGCGCTGCCTTCTGGCTCGGAATCGGTATACGACGAGTAATTCCGAACAGGTTTCTGTCGCTTCCACGACTGTCGCAACGAGTCGTTCACATTCGCGTAGTGATTCACGAAGGAATGCGGATCGGACTGCACACTCTCGTTTTCGCTCTCGGAACCCTGCAAAGCGCAATAGAGTAAATATGCGATAAAGTTGCAATCGATAGAATTTCAAAATAAAAACGCATAAGAACGTATCCCCCGATTAACTTAAAGATATCACACGCTTTAATAATCTAGAAGTAAAGTTACCTGAGAGTCGGTGGAACTTATTTCGGAGGGCTTCTCTGTGACGCTACTGTCGTCAGGATTCTCGTCGTATCCTTTGAGACTCTCCTCGTCGCTGTGATAGGCGACTGATGCGGGAGACGGCCTGGGAGGCGATTTTCCTAGCATTGCAGGAGGCGGCGGAATCGCCTTGCGAGCTAATGTGCTCCTCTTGCCTAGAGTGCCGCTACCCATGTTGATAGTGCACCCACCACCCTGACGTGATCTGTACAGCTCCAAATCCGACTCCTGTCTATCGTCCCCGTCCATCGCCATCGATTCCTCGAGGGTCTTTTGTGCCTTTTCTGTATAATTGCATACGTTACATGTAAGTAATATAGTCATAACATACGTATATAGTCACGTATCAAGTTACAACTACATAATATGAATCATATTTGAATCATCACATCATTTTTCATATGATTATATAGTTCAAATGTTACGCGAGACTGTGCGAAAACTTACGTTTGTACTTGTAGCTTTTGCTCTTCACACACAATACCGCTATGACTGTGATGATGATTATGATTGACGTAGCTGCTAAAGTGACCATAAACCAGGTTTGCCTGTAGAACGGCCTATGTTGCAGGTATGCGTATTCCAGGTACAGTTTCGACGGCGTTAATAGCTAAAAATAATATGTAATTAGATGTAAGAACATACGGAAACTTAATATATACAATTGAAATATCACATTATTAGCACTGCATTAGCAAAATATCAAGTATACGATTAATTTTGATTTTGATATCTTACCGTTTCAGTAGAATATACTGGGCAACTGATCCCGTACTGATTGTATGATAGCACTCTAAATGAGTATACCGTGGACGGCAGTAAGTTTTGATAAGACACAGTGAACTCCGTCAACGGTCCGTTTGAGATGCGAGTTAAGGGATCCCAGCGCGTGTTATCTAAAAACGCGAAACGTATTACAACTTCAATAAATTGGTGAATTCTTTCTAGAGAAAAGGGGTAAATTACTTTTTCATAAAGACTGCCTGAGGATATTGTAATATATCAAATCTTTTTATACACAATCAAATTATTCTTCAAGTCAAATTAATTTTTAACTTGTTGATTTTTCGACCAGCGAAAATATCGACAGAGACGTTGTCGTCTCGTCGCCAATTGCTAATTGTTCGAAAGTTATGTTTTGTCTAATCAGATTTTCTTTGAGGAAAAACCAGACTTCTCGATCGGTCGAAGAATCTGCAGTTAAAAGATGATATGGTGTAAAGCGGGACACACTCTGTATATCAGTCAATCGGGCAGGGATCTTTGATACTCAGCGACGAATTATATTATAGCGTTATTATGTAAGGGAGTTAATGTCCAATAAAAAGAACCTGTTCGAACGTCTAAAATGGTATTTCTGACTATGACGTCATGCTATGACACTATCATGCAGATCGTTAATGCAAGAACGCCGACATGACGTGTAAATGTACATAACGTACAATGGATTCGTATCACAGGGTAAGAGAAGCAAGAAGAACGTTGCCACTCTAACAAGGGGGAAGAGGGGGCGGGGGTCTCACTATCGAAAAACCATCTAATGCAACGACTGACGATTCGGCATAATTACGTGCGTTGACACTTACAATGCTGCCACTCTTCCATCGCTATATCGGTTATGAAAAAAGACAGTATTAGTATTTAGCAGCCCATAGTCGAGTTTGACGCGCGAGCGCGAGAGAGATTATATACACGAAAGACATATATTCTTTAACTGAAATATTGATTTCATCTTCAAATTTCAACATTTGAATTCTCGTGGACGACAATAATTGTAGAAAAAAAAATATATATGTATATATATGATAACTGTAGTCTCAGAGAAATATAGTTTTTTTAGAGAAAAAAACTTATGCTCAGTGGAAGGTTGTTATGAATTCGTACGATACCATCGCCCCTGCTAATTGCGAATAGTAATTACGTAAAGTAACAACGATAAGAATTGAAGTTGCTGCTTACCGTTACGACGCGTCTCGATGTAGTACCCCAATATAGGACCCTTTCCGGACGCTCCGTTGGTCCAATGCAACTCCACGCTGGAGGCGGTCTTAGAGAGGACAAGTTTGCTGGGTGACATCGGTGAGCCCTTCTGTGGCCCAGTCGTGACGTTTCCGGATATCGGCGGACCAAGGTCAATCGTTTGCGCGCGTACCGTGAATGTGTACAGCGCTTCCTCTTCCAATTGCGAGACCACCATGTACGTCCTGTGCACCTTCTGCTTCACTTGCTTGCTGAAATGTTCGTTTTGCTCCGCCGTCTCGTATACGACAAGGTAGTTAACTATTTCACCGTTGCGTAACTTGGGTGACTCCCAGGACACGCGCAAACTCGTCATGGCGATTTCCGTAAATTGTAGATTATGCGGCGGTCCTGGGAGGTCCTGTTTTGTTCTCACGGTGATCGGCCGTGATCGGGGACCGTCTCCAGCCGGATTAAACGCTAAAACTTGTATACGGTATTCAGTGTACTTGTCGAGGAAGACTAGACTGTGTGCCAGACAGGACGCCGGAACAACTTCAATCTCCTCCTCCTGTTTCTTCTCCAATTGCTGAGGTGAGTCGGTCACCAAATAAAAAATCTTGTACCCTAATAGGCCTCCATTTTGCATATTGGCCTGGGGTGGCTTCCATCGCAAATGGACTTCCGTGGAAGAGATGGATTCAGCTTTCAGGTGCTGAGGCTCTCCCGTGGGGACCGCCTCGCCTACGTACACTGTAACCGGTGGGCTCGGTGGACCTTCACCTTCCGAGTTGAAAGGCAACACTATGATTTCATAATACCTATCCTCTGTTAAGTCGCTGAGGACCATCTTAGTTTCCTTGATTCCTACAACATCTTTCTTTGGTGTGGTGTGAAGTGCTGTCGGGAAGTCTGATACCGGCTGATAAACGACGCGGTAACCACCTGTCTTGTGATCGCCGCTCCAATATATCTGGTCGACCATGTTCCAGTGAACCTCGACGCTGGATGTCGTTATCGGCACAACTTTCAGACCGGTGACACCCTTGGACGGCGCTGCAGGTAGAGTTTGTACTTGAACGGACTCGGTGCTCCATTCGGACGGACCTATGTCGTTGGTGGCTTGAATACGAAACTGATAGAAAGTGTCAGGCTTCAGATTGTCGGCCGTGTAAGACGTCAAGGTGGGTTCCACTCTCTCGGGGATAGTTTGGAACGGTCCCGAGTTCTCGGACTGCTGTACCGTGTAATACCTCAATGGTGCGAAACCGTCTTTGCCTGGTGTCCAGTTGAACGTGATTTGACGGCTCTGGATCTGCGATTTGCCCACCTGCGGCACCGATGGCGCCTGTGGACGCTCTCGGTTGTTTGTGGTGAACACGAGTGCATACGCAGTCTTGCCCCAGCCCAGTCTCGTCTGCGCCGTCACGGAGAACATGTAGTACCTCTCCGGCTCGAGACCTGTGGCAGTGAACGTTCTGTCCGACGCAGGAAACTCTCTTGAGAACTCGCGATCTTGGCTATTGTTTAAGTGAAACACCACTTTGTACGCGAGGATTTCGCCATTGGGATCCTCCGGTGTGTCCCAGATAATGCGAGCTGTGGTTAGACTCACGTCGGGGAAAGACACATTGGACGGTGGACCAGGAGTATCTTCGAAGGTCTGCACTCTCACAGGCGGAATACTGAGGGCTCCGTCTCCAAGTCTCGTGTAAGCCAGGACCTGCACATGATACTGAACGAATTTGCGCAGCTCGGTCAGAGTGGTTGTGAAAGTGGTGTTACTAGGAATATTCTTGTACTGGAACGGCGATCTAGAATTCGCGCCGTAATAGACTTTAAACCCGTCGATCTGTCCGTTCTGGTGTTCCACGGGCACGTCACCCCACCGCACCACAATAGTCGTGGACGACGTCGCGTTCGCTTCCACGTTGACCGGTCCGAGTGAAGGAACTGATTCGCGAGTGCGTTCCACGGCCTTAGGACTCACCTCCGAAAAGCCAACGTCGTTGAAAGCTTGCATCACTATCTCATAATCGGCGTACTCCTTCATATTCTCCAGAATATACGAGTTCGCCGTGGGATCCTCGATAGAGATACTCTTCGACATGTTCATCCGTACCTCTGTGTACGTGATGTTATATCCGCGTGGATTGCCGTACCATTCTATCTGCTGCAAAGGAATCCACCTGACGCGTAACTCGGTAGCGCTCATTGCGCGTACGGTGACATTCGTCGGCGGATGGGAAGGTGGTGCTTGAATCGTCTGAAATTCCTTCGTCGGCTCGGACGGTTGCGAGGCGCCGACCACATTGTTCGCGATCAAACGGAGTTTGTACTGCATGAAGGGAGTGAGTCTGTCGACGGTAATGGTGCACGCGTCGGGATCTGACACCTCGTAGATGTTGTACCACGTCGAGTTTCGCGCTGTTTGCGCCTGCACCGTCCACTTCGCGATAGATGAGTTGCCGTCAAAGCCAGGTGTGAACTGCAGCACAACGGAGAATGCATCGATGTTGGATAACGCCAATTTCGTAGGAGGCTCCGGCAGCACCGGCTCTACACCCGATTGTATGATCGCGACTTTCGCTTTGCCAGGCCCGACTGACGTCCACGCGGCCACTTCGAATTTGTAATGAGTTAATGCCTGCAGGTGCTCTACTTTGGTAAACAATACGTCGGCTGTGAAGTTTTGTACTTGCAAAGAATCCGGAATTTCCTTTATCATATATTTCAGTTGGTAATGCGTCAATATTCCGTTGGTTTCTTTAGGCGGACTCCACTTGACCGTCAGCGCGCGATCGCTGATATCATCGAATTGCAGATTCTCCACTTCTTCGGGCACGTCTTCGCGAGTGCGAATCTCGACGGGTGAGCTCCTCTCGCCGTCACCCGGATCGGTGAAGCACAACACTGTAATGTTGTACAGAGTGTACTTTCTCAAGCCTGTTATAATAGCGCTCTGCTCCAAGAGTGGATCCAACAAGCTTGGCGGTACGGTCATTGACTTATACTTGTTCGCCTCTGTCAGATTACCACCAGCCCAGGCTTGCAATTTGTATCCCTGATTTATTCCATTAATTTTCTGAGGATTGGGTGGCTTCCACAAAACTTTCACTGCCGTTGAATTCACTGCTTCCGCTCTCACATTTGTGGGAGGCGCTTCCGGAACTGCAAATTATTATATTTCACATGTAGAATACATATACATACAAAAAAAACTTAAGTATAAATTTTAACTACATCTTGATCAACTCCTAGTAACTCTCCAATAATCAAAATTATAGTAGACTAAATTATTAGTCTTGCAAATTTATAATGTTCTCTAGATTTTTAGATCTAGAATTATTTAATATTCTAATTAGATTATTCTAAAATTGTAATATATAGTTTACTACATAAAATATTAAGTAGTACATTACAGTATTGTAGAATTAGAACCGCTTCTCAATGAATTCTTATAATACAACAGAATCACAACGATATATTTAATTTTTAATAATCTGGTATCGGTCGCGCAATTACCTCCTTCCTTAGTTTTTATCTTCAAGCCATCGGTAAATATACCCACTCCCTTGTCGTTGTATGCCGCTATCTGCACCTCATAATCCTTCCACGTGATCAGATCGGTGATCAGATAATTCCTTTGGGCTTCGTTAGTGATATTTTGCATCATCCAAGGATTGGCGATGTACCCGAACAGCCTATATCTCAGAATATATCCCAAAATGTGGCCGTTCCGATACTCCTCCAACGGTAGTTGCCATTGCGTTATTATTTGAGACGATGAACGCGCTGAACCAACGAAACCGACGGGCGGACCGCTAGGTGGCTCTTGTGGCAATTCGACGACGTTACTTGGTTCCGACGGCATACCCTTGCCGACGCTGTTCTCGGCGTAAACGCGAAACTGATAGGCCGCCGCTGCTTTCAGATTATTCAGCAACACCCATCGGGTATCCGCGGACACGTTGTTGTCGACGATGTCCCAGCTCACTAACGAATCGGATATAGGCGCCGAGACGGACACTTCTTGCTTCTCGACGATAAATTTCTTTGTAGGACTGTTGCCGTCGAAACCGGGCACCCAAGTGACGTTGATCGTGCGCGGTGAGATCCGCTCGACTCGCGCAGCCTTGACGCTGATCGGCGCGAATGGCAGCTCGATCACGCTGAGACGGGCGGAGCGCGTCTCGTTGCCGCCAGGCGACACCACGGAGCACGTGTATTCTCCCACGTCGGAAGCTCGCACTGCAACAATCTCGAGGGTGCCATCATGTCGCATCTTCACCCTCTGACTCGCTTGCGTGTTTATCACTTGTGCATTGTGAAACCACGCCATGTCGTACATGACGCTGGGATCATTCGCAATTTTACATTGCAATTCGGCGGTTTGCCCGAGAAGCACGGATGTATCGATAGGTGGTTCGGTAATGCGCGTTCGAATCATGACGGTGAGGAATCCCGATCCGTTGACAGAGCCGGCCTCATTCGCGCGGACGCAAGTGTATTTACCCGCGTCGTTCGGTTTCACCGCTGCGATCAGAAGATCACCATTACCCGAGACTTGTACTCTTCCGGCTATCTCCACGGGTATCGTGTCGTTATAGTACCAGGTGGTGTTTGGTTTGGGCGCCGCCACCGCGTTGCAACTTAGAGTCGCGTCCTTGCCGTCCAATACCGTCAAATTTTGCGGACCATTTTCCATTATTGGCCCAGACGCTGCAAACAGCAGATTTGTTCGTTAATTCGTCAGATCTGTCGGCCCGCGTTCTCTTACAACATGCAAAATAAAAAAATAAAAAAACACAAATAAAAAAAACGTGATATATAATCATCACTTGCAACTCACACAAAAACCCAAAGTCCCTAATTCTCACGCCTCGAATCTCTCTATGCTCGAGTTGCAAACGACAAGCACGGACATAAACATATATTCGATACAGCGGTACTATGCAAACTAAGTGACTGAATAACTTTGAACAGATTTTTCATTGGACATGTACATCATAAGTGTAAAACGTGCATGTGTCAGTGTACTTGCATCGTTGTAAGCACGTGCTAAGGATTATTAATTCAAAGGATGCGTAAGAATACCAAGTTTCGTCTAACTTCTCTTCAGAAACGGCATACGTCATTAAATATATAATTACTAAAACGCTAAATTAATTTCACTTTCAAGACTACCAAGTCACTAATTATATAATAAGATATAAAGATCTATTCCTTTTTTAAGTAAAGGAAATAAGAGAGGCTCCATAACATAAAATCAGAGTGAAGAAGGAAAAGCCAATTGAAGGCTAAATGCAGTTATATGTATACACGTAAATGATAAAATAATTTTTAAATACGACTTCTTTGAAGTTACGTGTATTTGCCCAATTAATTGCATTTAGGCATTAGTTCGCCTTTTTCTTCTTGCAATTGAACAAATATTCCGCTAGAATTTTATCGACTATACAACTGTGGAGCAATGATAATTATCTAAAACAACAACATTCGACATGTCTGGTGCGTGTTGCTCTATCAAAGAAAACTATACGAATATTGTCACCAAGAGAAGCGAAAATCGTGAGGTGGGATATAAATTTCCAAGCATGTGCCGAATAATAAATAGAAAAAGAAGGTGAATAGAAATTTCGCTGCAAAGCGAACAGCATTGTTCTTACTGTCTGGATATTGAGAGAACATAAAACTGCGATCAGACTGGCGAATTCTGACTACATTGTAACCAGCTGCCCGGCGGACAACTCTGTCTTTCAATCCGCTCCCTAATCCTTCTGCCCCACAAAAAACATGTCATGTATATATTAACTTCACGTGCGACATTGCTGTACGAAGCGTTCGCAAAATGTATGACCCGAGTCTTCTTCAGCGAATATCTTTGTTACGTATTTCCCGTAACTCGATGATTTCTTTGCCGACTCTTAATCTGAGATTTATCTGAATTAAAGCGGAAATTTCAAAAATTTTCCGGAGGATTTCGACCGCATGTTTTGCGTGCGCTTTGTACAACTTCGACATTTACAGCTTTCGTGATATTCCAACGCGAATCACTCACTTTTCGCTTTCAGCCACGTGTAACTGGATGCTTCGCCGGCCTCGTTGGACGCGAGGCACTGAAACATCCCCGAGTCATCCATAGTCAATTTCTGAATCGTCAGCGAGCCGTCTTCCTCTATCTTATATCTATAAAACACAACGCGTGCAGATGCTGTGAGAACAATATTCTGAACGCAGAAGAAGATATTCGTCGAGAGAGGCGCACCTGTTTTCTAGCAAATGATCGACTGGGTCGGCATTACGGAACCAAGTAATCTTCGGAACCGGCGTGCCATCAACGTTGCACGATAACGTAACCTTGGATCCGTAATCACTCAGAGTTTCTTTTTTCAACTCTGTGTTGAATTTCGGTTTTTCTGAAACATAAATAAACAAAACTGTCAGCAAAGTCTGGGTAGAGTAGACAACGTGTAAAATTAGACGCGTACGGCGGACAATCAGTTTGTGAAAGATTTTCGATTATTAGTTATATCTAAAATTACTACACTGACTTCTATGTAGAGCAAACATACCGTATACAACGATCTTAGCGCTCGCATTCAAAGTCGGATAGCCACCGCTCTTCAGATCCACGTGGCAGGAATACGTTCCCGTATAAGTCATGTTCGCGGAGATCAGCATGAGCGTCCTGTTCCACGAGTCGTTAAAACTGTATGTTACCTGGGAGTTCTCGATAGGTATATCATCCTTCATCCACAGAATCCGCAACTCATGAAGCGATCTGAAACATGTGTAAGTGTTGCCACCGATTGTTCAGAGTATACAATAGAAAAAGGGACAACGTTGACGATACGCAGCTTGTGACTCTCGATTACATACCTGGCATTCGCGACGCAATGGATATGAGCGGCATTCTGATCCTTGATTATCCGTGTGTTCTGAGGTTTGACAATTATACTGGGGGCTATTTCTGCATCCGGATCACCAGTGACCTGCAGCTTGAAGAACGGACTGATCTCTTCCTTACCCAATTGATTGTTGAAAGCCCTCCCTCTGTGCGACAAACAACGGGGAAGATGCATGTGAGTGTCCGCGAATCTCGCGTTCGAGTCGGTGATTTCGAATTAACGATAGTATTCACCGATGAAAGAGTGTCTCAATCGTACGAACCTGTAGAAACCCTCATCACTCTTCGCGGCATCTAGTATGAACAGCTTGTGGTCAATCATAGCGTACTTTATGCCGTACAGTTCCGTCGCGTCCGAAGACAACCACGTTACCGTAGGGCTGGGATTACTCTCAATCAACGGTAGCTCCAATATTGCAACGTTACCATATTCAACCGTCACTACTCTATCTGTGAGGTCGTCGAATTTTCCCAAATCTGCGCGAAAAAAACTCAATGTATACATTCTTCGTTATAAAAAAATGCAGTCGAGAATGTCATAATGCTAATATAACCTTTAGTCGTAGTTTGTGCAAGTAAGATCGATGATTCTAAGGTACTTACATGCTACAGAGAAGCCAACACGATCGCTGAATATCGAGCCCACGTCGTTGGTCGCGACACAATGATAAATGCCGGTGTCCATTCGTCGCGTATCCTGAATCCGAAAAGATCCTGACGTGGTCATTTCGCTGAGCGGTTCCCAATCCTTGAACCACCTGTACTTTGGTTGAGGATTGCCTGTGGAAACGATGTGTAGTGTTGGATAATTTTTCCGACTAAAAAGAGGGTTGTGAACAAATTAAAGCGAATTTCTCATCATTTTCGCATAATTTCTGTCGATATTTATTGGCAGCAAAAATATCGCAAATATTATCTCCTCGGGATCATTAGAAAGAAAACCTGATGGAAATCTCGAGCAGAGATTTTATGAGTGTAACGTAAGAAGAAACAAATTACTCGAAGACATTTGGTATCGTGAAAAATTATTTTACGTAGATTATTGAATAATTAAATGTAAATTCGCGTCGTGCAAAGTCATGGACGATGTTAACTGCAGCTCATGAGCTATCTAATACCATTAGTACAGGGTCATACAATCGAATTAAACATGGTGATGGTAGTGGTGGTGGTGGTAGTGGAAGTAGAGAATATTGGTAAGGCTTCATCTGGTCAGCGTCTCGTCCGCTCGTTATCTGATACTTTAGCAGGACAATGGAGCATCGCAAACTTTATCCTCGTTGCTGCGGTTCTCTTACCACCACCATCATATTACCAGCACCACTGCCAACAATTGAAGTAGAACCCCTGTTAAGCTCTACCTACGCAATATCGCCAGGAAAATCTGCAACCATCGCAAAATTTAACGCCTCTTATGTTTTATTGCTTCAATTTCGCTTTTGTCGATCAAATGCGATTTCCTGCTGAACGGTGCGAGATTCGCAGTCTCGAGGAAATCGAGACTGGAGCGACGAAAAATTAGCACACAAATAGAAATAAATTTCGCCTCAGAAGCAAGTTCTTTTGGCTGGAGATCTTTCTGCTCGACAGTGGTCGAAGTGGGACCTGTGCCAGAATTGAACGATACTTAGAATGTTAATCCAACGTTCGTGTGTCTCACCTCTTGCTTGGCATTGTAGAATCTTGGTGCGATTCTCACTGAGTATATTGCCGCTGGTAGATGGTTGAATGAAGAAGCGCGGCTCTAGAAGTGGTTCTGCAAACAGAAAAAATGTTCTCTGCCTCATCAAGACCATCTCGTGAGGAAATCTAACAAAAGTCTTATCTAGATTGCCGCGTTTCATATCGCCGCTTCGCCCGCGTCTCCAATTAAACCATGGTTTAATGTGAAACGACGACAAGGAGAGACTCTACAGGCGACACCGATGTGCCCCATGTCGAGGTCGTTGGAGCATGGAAGATCCGGGAAGGAGGGTAGTGCATGTGTCGGTTTACGCATGTGACTCGGCACTTCGGCATCCGGCCGTTCGTTCGTTCGTTCGTTCGCATTCTTTCCTCTCATTTCTCGACATTTTTGGAGCACCGTAAATTACGCTCGCGATCTTGTGATATGACTCAGTTATCAGTCGGCCGTATGTAGGACACATGTAATTATGTAAAATTATGACACACTAATTTATGATTTACGATACAATACGACAATTCGTGATACAAGCGAGATAAGACCATTTCACAAAGTCTCACAAATATACAGACTTAATCATTAACGTGCCACGATCGCTGCACTGTTTTCCCATTCATCATTAAGTAATTGTATATTTACAATTAAAAAGTGGAAAATAAAATAACAATAAGCTCCAGAGGAAATACTAAATGGTCAATAAGCTCAAGTGTAGATAAAGCAAACTATCAAAATAATCTAATAAGTATACACATATGCGACTTATGATTCTGCTAACACTACGTATTATATCATACATTGAGAGATAAAATGATTGATTTAATTAGAATTATAGTTATTTTTTATCGCAATTATATTTTTTTGGTTGTTCTAACACGCTAACAATAGTAATAACATGCATGTAAGATTATTATCACTAATATTATAGTAGAATTTAATAAAAAAATAGTTTCCTCAATTATAATTTATAGTAATCATTTCTCTGCGATTATAGTTACGAATATCAAATACTTTTTCTCAGTGTACATGTATATAATTTATACACTCTATAATCCTGCTATAATTTCCGATATAAAAATTATATATTCTAATATAGATATTCTAATATTATTATTAGAACTTGTGCACTCCACTAGGTTTCCATTACAAGGTAAATATTTTTTTTATTATTTCAACTATTTTCCCCAATTTATTCGTGAGTTATTCTATTATTCTATTTATATATTATATCCTAAAGCAATTTATATGTAGTAATAAATATAAATGTAATTATAATACAAAAATTTGGAATATCTCTCAAAGTTAATTTGTCGCGCCTCTGTCGCCCATCCGGAAGATTTCATGATCGATTGTGTGCGCGCTCTTTATACATTGACGACATATCTATGCAGTTTGTTCTCCGAACGGAGCTCGAGGTTGACCACCTGCAAACTGCAGTGAAGAGAAGGGAGTCGACGTGCAGCCAACGACGCGACGGACGGCTGCACCGTGGTATAGCTGCCGCCGCTGCGTGCAGTAAGACGCAATGCGCAACGTTTTGCGGAGTCTCGCCCCCACCCGGGTGGCGTGTTATCGGACCGGGCTATCTCCTCGTAACCCGAACGAAATGCACCACGTCGAAACTGCGCTACGTTTTACCTCGGTTTCTAAACTTTCTTCCTCCTCCTATCTCTTGCATTCGCGCTCCGATCCGGAAAATCGCCGGTAGGAAATCGCGTACAAAAATCGTCTACCCGCGTTACGAATTACCGGGTATTTATCAATTTCGGGACATTTAGTTTCGAGCAACCGCCGAGTCGGTGAGTCAGAAGAGGGAGAGAGCGGAAGGGGTGGAGGAGAAAGGATGGTGGTGGTTCTTTTTCAAGGGTTTGTCTGGAAATAACCGGCCGTCCCCCGCTCACCCGCCACCACGACGACGACGACGACGACGACGACGACGACGAGGAGTGCATCGAGAGTTCAGCCGCGAGTGCACATATGGTATCGAGTAAACTTCGAAAGCTTTAATATGGGGTCGACGCACGTTCGACGCTCGTAAAAAGCCCGAGATTGAATTAGGTTTGAGCGCGTTCTATTGAGCGTGAACAGCCCGTCGTCGCGAACACGGTAAACTTTAACGAGCCGTTGTCGTCGTTGTTGTTGTCGCCGAAGAAACTTTCCACGGCTCGTGAATCTGTTCCCTCCTCCTCCTCTCTCCGCCTTTCTGTCTCTCTTAATCTCGGTATCGATCGTTGAGTCGATTTCGTTCGATTGCTCGCGGAACCAGCGCGACTGTAACGTGTCTTTTGCGCCTTTAGCGGATAGGAAAACGCGAACGAATCGCGGAACAACGGGATGCGCATTAGAACAAACGAAAGGTGTTCCCGGCCGTGTGCGAACGCGTACATATCTCTCGTGGGAATCTGCATGCGGTGGCTGTGTGTGCTAATACAAAGTTACGCCTCGTTGAACGAGCGGTTCTTAAACGCTCGGCCAGCAGCACCGTTGCGATATCAGCAACAACAGCGGACGGGCGTTGTACCAGTGGGCGACTTATAATTTCGCGCAACGATGCGCCCTCGACTATTTATTACGCGAGGGACGACAAATGCCGTGGTCGCGTTTCGGCGCGAGAACGCGCAGAAAAGCGAAGAAGCGCGGTGAGCGAAGCGCGAAACTGCAAGACCAAACTTCAGTGAAATCTTTGCTGGTCCTTCTAATCGTTCCCACCTCGTGTCTGAAAGATAAATATCCCGATGACTGAACTGATAAGAAAACACGATCAGTTTTGTATTTCTATTCATAAATAATTAATGGAATAATTAACAAGACCAACGTTTATACAAAACTTTGATTCGTCAGCGATCGGGAAATAATAAGGAGGTAAAATATAATCAGTGAGTACCAATTGTAATTTTAACGATGCAAAAAGTAATTTTAGCTGAGATTAGCCGTTTCTCCTCCCGAAAGTAAAGTAGACAAGTGCAAGAGGTATTTAGTTTCTTTGAACTCGAAAAAAAAACCTAACGAACGCAACGAACAAGATTACAATAAGCGCGGCACGTGTTATTCGCACGAGCTGACGAGACTTAAATTCACGGCGCAAAGTGCAGCGACGCGTCGCACCGTAAACTCTCCGCCACCGCTCGCGATTTTGTTATGCGCGTGCGAATGCACCCGGGGGTAGAGACAGGGAGGCAAAGCGTAGAAAGGGGGAAAACACGGTGTGGAAGGGCGACCTCGGTGTGCCCGAAGTTCACTGAACAATCTGGGGTAAAACGAACGAGGCAGCTGTCGGGCCATGTGTGTAGGGCACGACGCGCTATGTAAATGGGGGAACGGGAATTCGTGCGCATCGCATCGTGCTGCACACGAAGATGCACCTCGAAGGGGAAGAGAGAGAAGAGAGAAAGAGAGAGGAGCGAGAGAGAGAGAGAGAGAGAGAGAGAGAGAGAGAGGGAAAGAGAGAAGAGGTTCTTTAACCCATTCGATTACACGCGCGGCGTGTTAATAACACCCTCGAGAATGCAACTACTTTGCCGTTGTCGCATCGCAGACAAAAACGGGCGGGACATTACTTCGTTACCACAGGTTGTAATTTATATTTGTATATTAATTATATTGTGTAGAATCTGCCGAAATGCAAACGAAAGGGGGGAACAAGAACGAAGTGGGCTGAACGAGCGGGCAAGAATGGACGTATCCTTGAAAAGTGTGTGCAGTGACTTATTTCGGGAGGTGCGTCTTGAAACACAGACGCACGCATGCACGCATGCCAGCGAGCGGAGGAACGTTCCCGACGACATAAGCGATGGAGTGTTATGCGAAGGGCCTCTGCCCTGGCCCATTTTACGGCCTTGAAGAAACTCCGGCTTCACCTCGTCATCGTGACGGCGCGAACTGTTATGAGCGCGAGGCAAGAGTACGTTGAGACGTAATATTAAATATATGGGTCTTCATTTTGTTTTAACGAGCAGCTTGATATTTAATATTTGAAGCGAAAGTCTCTCAAGAAGACTTAATATGATAAAATATCAATATCCAGGAAGTTTGATCATTTTTATCGAGGATGCCAATTAGCAAGAGTTCTTACGAACTAGAGGCTTCAATATATCAAGCTTGAAATTTACAATATTTATCAGACTACATAGCTGAAAAACTATCATATGCGATTCCCTAGCTTGGGTAAAGAGATAAACAGGGTACAGGATGGCGATTTCAAGTACTTGAGTTGCGGCAAATAATACAATACACGAGAGAGAGAGAGAGAGAGAGAGAGAGAGAGAGAACAAGAAAGAGAGAGCGGGAGAACGGTAACAAAAGCGACGTGGCTGTGGCGCATGCACGACTGAATTTTTCGTTCTTCCTCTGTAAAACGGCACCGGTGCCAACAACACGCGATCCGAAGGAAATTATATATTAGGCAAATACCCAGTTATAAATAACTCGATTTCTCTTCCGTAGCTCTTTCCGTCTGTTGCTCGACTACTTTTCTATGAACATACATGAAAATAAGTGCTGTTGTAGAAGATAGAATTGATCAACAGCGCTATAATTGGAGTAAATCTCATTCATCATACATTGCTTTTTAATGACCTAAGTATTGGGTACAAAATGGTAGAGCTTATCTGTCATATCGCGTATAATTATTTATCAACATTCTTTAATTAATAACTTAGAATTTTACGCGATTGTTTGCAAAATGGCCGGGAAATGTTCAGTTTAGTCTGACCTACACATACACTCGACTACTAAACGGTGGCCACACACCAAATGAATTGTGCAGCGCTTCTGGTTGTTACAAATTAAGAAACACTACTAACGCATTCGCCCTGTAAGTTGACAGGTGTCGGAGAGAGTATAGGGTGTGAAAATAAATTTTATTAATATAACATTCACATATTGTTATCCTCCCGTGCTTTAAATTACGAACTTGTGAACTTTAAATACATTATTAACTAACTACAGCGCGAATGCGTCAGCAGTGTCTCTCAATTGTGACAACCAAGTGCGTTGCAACGTCACTCGAAAAAATGTGTGGCCACCGTTTAGTAACCAAATGTGTACACGAGGTACGGACACCTTATATAAGAGAA